GCAGATCAATTTTAAGTAATAAATGTTTAAAATTCTTTCTTCAGAAGGAATTTTTAAAAAGGCAGAGCTCTTAACTTTGAAGAGCTAAAGCAAAGATATTTTCTGAAATGCTAACTAGTTTTGTGGACCTCTACCAAAGACTGGACCACAAATCATCATCCAGAATGGCAGCCAAACGTTAAGTTACACTGGCCCGAAGCAGGGAAACTCCCAAAACGGACGATGAAGTTTATTTTGCTTGCGCTGCAGAATAAGCTCTCTGGGTCTGAGTCAGTGCTTTCTGAACGACTTCCACATGTAAACACACAGCTAACTTACCGGGGTGCTTGCTACTGTTGAGCCAGGGCTCTTGGCATTGTTATCCTCAGGATTCTGGTGAGCTTCTTCCGGCCCTCGAGTTACAAGAATTCGGAAATGCTGTTGCCCTGCATTCTGATCTTGCCTGATCTTAAACGTACACCCTTGACCCTGTGGAGTTCTTTCTATGGAATTAGCCCTGTGGATCTCAGGACCCATCCTGCTGCAGCGAGGCCCCTCCGAATGTCCCTGGTCTTCCGTAGGACTCACTCGCTCAGTTCTAGGTTGGGTGGGATACGAGGTACTTCTCTCCAACCGAATACGGGGATACCTCACCAACCTATCACCCTTTGTGCCAGTGAAACCAAAGTTGTAGTCACCACCCAGGCCCAGAGTGCCTTGTGGGGGCTGCTGCAACTGGAAGACAAAGCACCGCTTCCCAGAGTTACCAGAAGCATCCGGAACGTGTTGCAGGGACCAGCGCCTGGGCTCGGGTGTGGAAGGGTCATTCTGTCCCTCAGACCCAAAAGGCATCAGCCTCACCTGGCGCATGTCCACACTGGAAGCCCGGTGCTGAATCCTGACCCCGCTTATGTTCAGCCCTGGAGGGGTTTCGTGGCTGTCCACACCCTGGGCAGGTGAGGGCTCAGCGTCCTCTTGGGACTCTGAAGGAGCAGTACAGAACACTCGGTGGCCGCAAGAACTGGTCCCGTTGACCTGTTGTCCTAAATCCCTTGGTACCCTTGGAGGAGAACTCTCCGGGGTCTCTCTTTCTGAGGTTTCTTGGGAGCTGCTCTGGGATGAAGACCTTCTCATTGGGGCAGTAAAGTCCTCCTGGGGGTCTGAAAACGAGCAGGGTAGTCCATCACCAATGGAGTCTGGCGGCGGGCACTCATCAGCGTGGCCGTTCATAGTTTTGCGCTGGAGAGAGATCTGCACGGATGAGCTCCTGGTTGGACGGGCATCGATGTTGTTCAGGAGCTGAGGGATGAACATGGACGTGCTGCGCTTGAGCAAACCCACGCCCTCCTGCAGGCTGCCGCCGCCATACTCCCCTCCACCATTTTGAGCAAACGGGTGCGGGCTGCTCCTCCGGGGCAGCGTGTGGAATGCCATGAAAAAGTCATCTTCTCGCTCCCGGTCGAGGATCTCGGATTCGGGGGCTGTGTTGCTCCGACCGGAGCCAAAATGAAACCGAAGCCGATGGGCCATGGTGAACAGGGGGGCAGGGAGGGAGAGGAGGAGCGGCAACAGCAGTCCCGGCACTGCCAGAAGTCAAAAACCAAAGACATCAACTCCAAGAAAAAGTGTCCCATCTGCCAAACCGTTAGCACTGCGGCACCAAGAGCGACAGATAGCAGAAATAACCCAAGTGGCAAGCGGCATTCCAGGCATGATTGGATAAGAGCAAAAAGCTCACGTCCACACTGTGACAGAGGGTAGGATGGCTAGAACCACATGACTGTGTGTTCCCCCTCCAATGCCAGCTTGTGGACTTAGCAGAGCTTCCCCCCGCTCGCTCTCATGTTTTGTTTTTTTTTTTAAACAGCAAGAGCTTGAAACGGCACCTTCTCAGCTGCTGCTTTTCCATCAGACAGGAGTGGCCCCAGCAGGGAGCTCTCACAGCTGACCAGGGCAGCAAACACACTCCGAGCCATGCTGCTATAAATCTCAACCACATCACACTCACAGGCCGTCTCTTTCTCAACTAAGCAGAGTGTTGACAGTCTCTCTCGAATGCATGCGAGGGACTTAAACATACCAGCACACACAGTTGTGGTTCCTACCTCCTGCCACCTTGCCCACTGCACCAGGGAATGACAAGTAAAATGCCTTGGCTGCAAGACAACCCTTTCACAGCATCGGATGTTATGTCTCTCTGTTATTTATGACATCATCACACTATCACTATGGAATGCAAACTAATAAAACATACTATAAATACGACTACACACCCCATGGAATTAGAGTCCCTTGAATGCTAAAATAATTAGACCATGATCTACAAGGAACAAAATAGGCAAGTCGGGGAGGACAGGGGTACAACTTACAAAACGGTCAAGTTAACATTCCACCTCCTGCCACTACTTGGACATTTTTCATTTGAAAGATGTCTGTGTGTGTTGTCGTCTCACACGTAATGAGGTTGTCAGACACGGACGTACCCAAGAAAAAGAACCCAGGTGGGGAAAACACTCAGCCCTATATATGCCAGGTAGGAGAAAAAAAACGACAAAAAAAAGAAAAAAAAAAAGAAGAAGGAAGGAAAACTGAAGCAAGCTGTGCATGTGATTTTTGTAGGAATTTTAACTTAAATCCCATACACAAGAAATGCTGCCTGGAGCTGACTGTGTCCCAGTGAGAAGTTAGCAGTATTATTACAGTTTTGATACAACTGTCATGGAGTCTTACTATGTCTGCAAAGGACCAAAACGGACTTAAGAAATAAAAGTAAAAGTGCACGCTCAAAAAACAGTCATCGACTTTGAAGTGCACTTGGAAATACGCTGTGCATTTTAAACTTACTATTTTCCATGATGCGGAAACACCAGCTATTTAACAAAGAGGTTTATTTAGGAGGGGGAAAATAGGAGGGGGAAAATTCCAAGCTGCAAAGAGTGACAAAAAGTTTATTTTACAATCTGCGAGGCATGACTTTGTCAACAGTTCTAAAGTTGAGGGTGTGGGTGATTAGCCCAGTGTTTATATACACCAAAACCTGTTTTCTAAAGGCATGTGTTTTCAACGCCAAAAATGACCATTATGAGAGAAATGGAAGCTAGTTTGTTTAATGCTAAAACTGCCAAGTACCAGTACAGTCGCATATTGTCTTAACTGGATCAATAGGCAACAGAGAAAAAAGAAAACAACACCAGCATTCATTGCACAGTAATAACACTGCAGATGGCTTAGGGCAAAACTAGATACTGAGATTATAAAACACGGATTTTTTCAGATAAGCTTGCATTCACACGGATTTCTTAGAGCTTTGCACCCAAAGTTTGGAAGTATAGTCTGAGACTCATGGCAAGGTAATCTCAAGAACAGTCATCATTTAGGTAACAGAAATGCAAAGCTTCGTCTTTTGTTGTTGTTTGCTACAGTGAATTTCTCTTAAGAGGAAAACATGAATGAATTATTAAAACATCTGACAAGAGGCAATTTTCCCCCAGATTTGACCCTTAATTCATCTTGAAGAAGTGTTACTGTACTCAACAAATCAAAGAGTAAGAATGTGTATGGGTGCATCTGTGTCTCTGGGGATGTTTTGTTATACTACTGAACGATGTCTAATTCAGTCTTCACTAGGTGAGAGATGAATGCTAGAAATGAAACGCTTGGCAGAATCTCTCAGTATAACAACAAAGCAACTTCATGCACATAACGAAAAGCAATTTCATTATGTGGTACTATTAAATATCACCCAAGGAACAAAAGGTTGAATTCAATGCAAAGCCACCAAGAATCCATATATTTTAACAGAAAAGATATCAGAATGGCAAGCCAGAATCTGCTGGCTTTCTGATATGGAGAACAATATGAAGCAGACAAGATGGAATACACTGCCAAGTTCTAAAATAAGGGTGAAAGGTCTGGCTATGCACCACCACTGGGCTGAGAAACAGGAGACCGGCAGGGCTGGACCCCCGAGCTTCCACTGACTGCTGTGTTTAAATTCTGTAAAGGCTTTAGACCTCTGCTCTCACATCTGCAAGGACGGGGAGCAAAGTGAGTTGTTTTCTAAGACTCCTGCAGATTGAATAACCTATTAAACTAAAGCTATTCAAAAACTGGAAGTTTCAGCTGGCTGCTGCTGCTGAAAGGAGGGGCTATAAGAACATTCCTTTAACCAGACAACATAGATAAGTTTCAGGGAAGGTAAATTTGACTACAACTAACTGAACAGAGTTATAATGCCACTTCGGAGAGTAACTTAAAGGCTTACAAGTAACATGATAATGTTCGTTTTCATAATCAAAACATACAGCTGGTGGGTACTTGATAGTATACATTCTAGTTAATTAAGAAAACAAAATGCCTTAAGCCAGATTTGCTTCTGAAATTTCATTTCTAAAAGGAAATGTTAGTTATATCAGTTGTGTGCACACACATATACATGCAGTCAGTTAGGCAGTTAGTTTACACCAGCTACATGCTTCAGGCATATCACTGATTCTTTAAAGGTACTTTCTAAGAACCTCCCTTGAGAAAGTACTACTTTTTAAAATAAAGCTTAATTTTACCTGCTAAATATAGATTCACTTTTTGCTATATACTGTTAATTAGATTTTTGTTTCCCCAAAGAGAATCGCCACAGGTTCTCTACTGAACAGAGTATAGTATTACAGTCTGGCTTATATTTTAAAACCTGCAAGGTTTGTTTACATGTACTGACGGCCTCTTTATAGATTTGCCTACCGTTCTGTATTCCCAACGTCAGAGCATAAGCATATGGCCTGATACTATCACTAGCAACTTTCACTAATATTTACTGAGATAAACACACACACAGAGACAAGCTTTCTGTCCTAGCAACGCAAATATGTGTTAGAATTATGAACTTTAAACTAATAGTGGAACAAAAATAATCTTGTTTTTGGGCAGATACACTGTCAGAAGTAAAACAAACTGAGTTTTAAAGATGTTCTAAAAATTCATTTAAAAAAAAAAAAAGCAACATTCCAAAATAGGGGTCCACTTACCAATCTGTTTTCGTCAAATACTTCAAAAAGGAGTCTGTGATTAGATGGATTTACCTATAAAGGATAGAGACAACATTTCAAAATGAATAGAAATCATTAAAGGATGAAATAAGGGACAGAAAAATAGAAACTTGTTTTATAATGCACCCAACTCAATTGTCTAATATGAACAACTAACCTACTCTTCTGGAAATCCTATCTTTACTAAATCAAATTTTCCATTATTTATTTCTACATTATTCTACCTCTAATATTTAAGCATATCAGAAGAAAAGGCTCTTAGCTGCTCTTCTGACATAAGAATGAGTTCCTAAATCTCCTCTTTAAAAGGTACCCCCACATATGTAGAACAAAGCCACGTCCTCACAAAGGTCTGCTGTTAGGTGCCATGGAGTTGGTTTTTGACTCATAACAACTCCATGTGACAGAGTAGAATTGCCTCATACAGTTTTCTAGACTGTAATCTTTATGGAAGCAGATCACCAGGTCTTTCTTCCACGGAGCCGCTAGGTGGATTTGAACTGCTAATCTTTTGGTGAGCAGCCAAGCACTTAACCATTGCACCACCAGGGCTCCTTCACAAAGGTCTATGCCTGAGAAACTCTCTTAGGTCTAATAACACTAATGAGAGAATGATACTGAAAATAATAGTAGTAGCAGTAGCAGCTTATTGTGTTCTTGTTAAGCACGATCACCTTGTTAAATATTAAACGTCCATTATTTGATATAATCCTCACAGCAATCCTATGATATTTACATAATATCAGCCCAGTTTAAAATGAGGAGCTGAGAACAGGAGAATGAAGTAACTTGGTCAAGATCCCACAGCTCGTCAGCAGGGCAACCAGAATATGGAGCAGACATAGTCGGCCTGTCTTCAGAGAGGCCAAGCTTTGATCCATTAGAGAGACAGAGACTTAAGAGATGTTCCGGCTTCGAACTGTAAGCATCGCAGGGCCAATGTCAGAGCTACTGGGCTTTCCACGTCTTTTGCTTTTTCCTCTCACTTTATCAAAAGCTCTGCAAAATGGCCCTTATCATAATTCAGACTCAAGTAAGTACCAATCACATGTGAAACATGGTACTAGGTGTTCTCATTTATATTATCCTAAGTAAATCCTAGGGGGAGTCCCTGGGTGGTGCAAACTGAGAGGCTGGAGTCCACCTAGAGGTACCTCAAAAGAAAGGTCTGGCGATCTGAAAAAAAATGAGTCATTGAAAACCCTACGGAGCACAGTTCTAGTCTGACACACATGGGTTTGCCACGATTCAGGGTCAACTTGAGAGCAACCGATAAATCCTGGCAACAAACCTATCTCATCTATGTGAGAGATGAGGAAGTCAGAGAGAATGAATGAGAGTCCTCAGGTGGCTTTCCTAAGGTCACAAAGGTTGTAAACAGTAGCGTCAGAGATGTAACCCAGGTCTACTGAGGTACCAGGTTTTCTGTAACCACTTCATGGTGGGAAATAGTATGAAATCACATTTAGCAGCCACAACACAGAGAGCATGACTTTTGCTTCTGGTCCCTTGGTATGCCCTTAGCCTAGCAACAGAGTAAGCAGATGGATGAACTGCTAAGTGTCTTTTTATAAGCTCTGCCAAGAGTTGTGCTGCTGCCCAGTGCACCCCCAGGCCATAGCAGGATCTGGCACATAGTAGGCACTCAATAAAAAATTTATGAGATGAATTTAAAAAAAAAAAAGACTTTTAAAAAGAGCTGACAAAAATAGAAGCTAAGTATGTTTACATCCAAGATTAGTTGAAAACATTTTTGGATTCACTAAAATTTACATAACAGTGGCCAAACTGTTAAATGGAAATGAGTCTTAAGTAAATTGGAGTTTCACAAATGGAAAGTGACATTTGAGAGTTAACTAAGGGCCAATAACATCTATCTGCCCCATTAGCTTTTCAGTCCTTTACGGAGATTTAAAATGCATCGATAGAGTCTATATAGGCTCTCACCAAGTATTAAAATATCAGTGCCATGTTTCAGCTCTGAACATAACAGAAAGCAGATGTTGTGTACAGTAATCCATATCTGGAGCACAGAAAATTCCACTGTGATTGAAAGGAAGAAACTGAGACCAATATTAATGGCAGTTGAATGGCAATGTTGGTCTTGGAAACTGCACTGGTCAGAAGGTCTAATATGGAGCATTTCTGGAGGTAAAGCAGACAACTGAAATATCTTTACATCTGAAGAAAAACAAACCCCTTCGCTCAATTAAATAGCTAAGCAGTTTAATATTTCCAAAATTTTAGCACAAAAACAACAAAAAAAAAATCAACCACCACAAAAATTCACTAAGCTGAATTCTCACAGTTAATTCACAGAATTCAGTCATTTCTACATACAGCTGTTCTAGACATTAAACATAAAAGCTTGAGGAAATGTTTCCTAATTCAGTGACATTTAAACTCAAGTAATTTTATACTACACATGTAGGTACACACTAAGTATGTGAATTATAAAAATTTTCTTCACTAATTGCCACATAATTGGTGACTTTTATGGTTCTTTTTAATCACTTTGCCTCTACTATTCTATTTTACATCTAAAAAGATCCATACCCCACGTCTCCTAGAAATAATTAAGCTATTATTTTAATTACATTTTGTCTTATTTTTAAAAGAAAAGTTTGAGTTGAAAAGATTAAACATGGCAGTTTTTGGACAACTTTCTTTTTACTTCCTAAAAATACCCCAAATGAAACAAGTCCAGATTTTGTGACCACTATTCATAGTCTAAGGAGTCCTGGTGGTGCAGTGGTTAAGTGTTCAATTGTTAACTGAAAGGTCAGCAGTTCGAACCCACCAGCCACTATGCAGGAGAAAGACAGGGCAGTCTGCTTTCTTAAAGATTTACGGCCTTGGAAACCATACGGGACAGTTCTACTCTGTCCTATAGGGTCGCTATGAGTTGGAACTGACTAGATGGCAGTGGGTTTGGTTTTTGGTTTACTCATAGTCTTTCAAAATGTGGGACACACTAGGATGCTACCTAACCATTTCTCTTATTAAAAGAATTTCTCTGTAAAAATTTTCAACAGCTTTCCTTCAATATAAATCTATCATAATTTAATATTTCAATCTAGTTATCAATAAAAAAAAACTTACTCGAAAATAAAATTCTTCATTCCATTTAGGGTTCAGCGTCTGGAAGAGAAATTATCTTGTAATACCCTTTTTAAAGGTTTACAACATTAATAGTTACTAGCACAACTAGTAGTCTACATATTTGCTTAAACATTTTTCTTGATAAAATAAATAGCTAGGAGATTTCCAAAATGACCATCACAGAAACATTTGGTCGATTATTTGAGATTGTTCTATAAGCAAAACTAGATAGTGAGGGGATGTATTTATGAAACAGATGATTCATAAATAGACATGAAACCATAAACTGCATGCATCACCAGAAGAAAAAACATCAAGAACCTACAAAGAACCATCATGAAAATATAAAAGCATCCTTCAAGAAATTAACAGTGATATGGTTATTCTATGAACTTTGTTGCCGCCCCCTTAACTTGCTACAAATCTGTTTTGGACAGCAATAAAGTAGGCAGGGAAGTGTTCATTATTTAGATAAACACTGAAATTTGAAGAACATTTCATGAAGAACAATTTTGATGATCAGATTTTACAACAAGAAAAAAAAGTCAGTAATAAACCAAAAGAGAATTATGTTTTTTCTGATATAACTTGGTTAAAAAACATTTATCTACTTATCCTTTAATCCTTTATATATTCATCCATCCATGTCTATATCAATCTATGTAAATATGTATCTTCCCAAAACACAGAAAGGGTACTTTTGTCCTCAGCATGGACAAAAGATGGACTGCCAACCATTCTTAAGAATTACGATGAAGCACCTACTATGAAGGAATACATATATACATGTTTGTGCATCTGTATATGCATAATACTTTTAAATAAGCACATCTCTTAAAAATTATATGTTAAATTTGAGACTGAAAAATCCCAACCTCACCAGCAGCTACAGATCTTTTTTTGGTCAGAATGCTATTTATCTTTATCAACCTATTTCCTTTAACATATCTGTTTAGGGAGAAGTACAAAATAATAATAATAATAACACAAAGCACCATAAAAATACAAAACATAGAACTCATATAACACCAACTGGCATTTAAAAATCAGCATGTTCTCCACCCACAATTCAACAATGAATCCAAATTCTAAATAACTGGGTTACATACTTGTAGACATGAATGGAGGAGGGGATGGCAATGAGAGGGCTGGAGGGAGGGAGAGAGGAGCCAGGCAACCAGGGAGCAGTACTGCCTGCTGCCTTAGATGCAACACTCCTGGTGGACAGCTTCATATAGATGCAGAAGGACAAAGGTAAATGACAAGCGACAGAAAACAGCAACAGCATGAGACCACATAACGAATGAAGGACCATCATAAGGCCACAAGGAGATGAGTATGAAAGCCGTTCTTAAAATCCACATACAGCACAGAAATACTAACCAGGAGGCTGGCAGGCGGCTGCTGTTGGCAGAGTAGACCCGGTTACAGAGCTACAACCTCGACTGTGAAAAGGGAAGGAGAAGGAGGAACGCCCCTTGGAAGAAAATACACTGCAATCTCCAAAATCGCCAGCTGTGGTTTTCTGTTCCGGTTCAGCAGGCAACCAGGACCCCTGGCTCGCCTTCCCTGCAAGGCTGGCCGCTGCCGCCCGCACAACTGATCTAAACAGATGACAGCGCCTAGCACGGGAACAATGGCTCCGTCCTTCACAGGAATCCTCCCCACTAATCAAAACACCAGCTCCTGTTTTCAAAACAGATTTTGAATGCCAGTCCCAATGCCAGGTGGGGGACCCACTACAATCACTGTTCCTTGCACAAAATGACCTGGTCATAGATCCAAGGCATCTGATCGGTAGCAGGAAAGTTACAATATTTTTAAAGCAACCATGCTCTCCAGGAAATATTTACCAGACAGTGTCTGACTACCTAATGCCCCTTCCTGCAAAAGGTAGTGAGCAAAAAATTTAAAAAGTAGTAAATAATACAAAAGAACAGATAAAAATAATATTTTGATAGAAAATATGTATCTTCTATAAAGACTCCAAATATGGGGTAAACAATTTACACACACACACACACAAATGATATATGTAAACATGGAGCTAGATGATTAATAAATAATTGTAGAAACTAATCTTTAATGAAATCATGTACATAAAACCTACAACAATAAAAAATTTATGTATATAAATGTATGGCTTTATTATTAATATATTTTATTTGTTGTCATGTAGCCAAGCAAGTATTTTGCTTCCTTTGGTAATGCTTGTCTCAAGTTTAACCATTTCTTTTGTGTCTACCAATTCCCCTTCACTGAAAATTATTTAACTACTTTAAATTTCTTTATGAAAAATAACAGACCAACAAGAAGAAATCCTCGTTTTGTTTTATCCATTGCAGGAAAAAAAAAAAAAAAAGTAAAACTGCTGCTTGTAATAAGACTTAATTTGAGAACACCATTTTTATAATCATTTAACTAAAACCCAGATTAATACATTGGGTTAATACTGCAAAGTTTTGGTCAATGGAAAATTTGTAGATATAATACTGGGAGGTTGCCAAAATGAAAATACAGGCATCTTATAATAAAAATTCTACAAAGTTAAAATACATTGTAATTTAATTTAATTATGACTTAAATCAAGTTTAGTGAATGATGAACACCTACCTTTTTGATTGTTTTTGTCTGTACCAAAGCAAGTTCTCTATTCTCATCCGCTACGTACAATGAAAGTTTCACATATGGATCACTGAAAGGGAAAATTTCACATTTAATATGGTTAACTTTTCATTTAAAAATCATTAATAAAGAAGAAAGTAGCCAAACCTAGATGAAAATGCAAATATCAATGTAAACGTCCCAGTTTGCATAAAGCAGTAACTAAACAATAACATGTTTAGTATGCCTACTAAATAACATGGGGCCCCGGTGGCACAAAGGTTATGCATTTGGCTGCTAACCAAAAGGTCAGCAGTTCAAATCTACCAGAGACTCCTTGAAAAACCTATGGGGCAGTTCTACTCTATCCTATAGAGTTGCTATGAGCTGGACTCGACTCGACAACAATGAGTTTGGTTTTAGTTTGTTACTAAATAATATACTCTGAGAAAAGTTTCCATCAAACAGAATCAATAATGTTTATTTAAAAAACAAAAAATCATGAAATCCACATTCAAATTTAAATAAACCACCTAAAAAAAACTCTATATAATTAATTTAACAGAAATTAATCTGTCATAGTTTCTTCTTATTCTAAATACAAATTCTGAAAAGATTACAAGATTATCAAAAGGCATAAAAAATTTGTTCAGATTAGCAAAACTTAGAAAATTTAGCTTAAGTCTTATTTTGCATTTTGATTCCCACTGTGAAGTTAAATTTTTTTTTTCTTTTAGTGGAGGTAAAACACTCATTGATCATCTAAACCAACATCTGCCATCTGAAGAGATAAAAAACCCCAAAACTAAGGCCCAAAGGTCAAGAGAGATTTGCCCAAAGTTTTAGATTTGAATAAACTCTAGATCAAATTTCAGATTTCCTGACTACCAGTTCCAGAGTTCCTTGTCCATATCACACTTCCTTCAATAATTATTTCCTTGGGAAACTGAAAACTTTTAGCAAGAAGGGTACTGAGAGGAATTACTTAACGTAGACTATGTGCTAAGACTAGAAATCCACTTATACTTTCTAGTATTGCTAACACTAGGAAAGCTCAAATTTAGTCAAACTACCACTGTATCAGAATTAGGGTCCATGAGAATTTCTTCTGTTTCACACTTGTGATCTTGAAAATCATAGAAAATGGTCGCATGTATTCAGTCCTCATTAGAGGATCTAATTATCTATAGCTTGATGATTTATTTCTGTCAATTCATCATTTAACTTTATGCCAATTCGAGAAATAGCCTTTGTGGCTCTAACGTGACTTTCAACACGACTATCGTAAACTTCCAGGATATTTCTAAAGATCAGACGATTTTTATTTGATACCTCAGACAATAAATATATCATGAAATTCTGCAAGGAAAGAGAAAGGTAGGATAAAATTAAGTTTGGTAGTAACAAGACTGTACTCAATATGCAAAAAGCAGAAATCAGATGTCAATGAAAAATAATGTTTATATGTATATGTAGATAGATAGATAGTTAAAAAACAAAACAAAATCCATTGCCGTTGAAGGCTATTCTGACTCATAGCAACCCTACAGGACTGAGTAGAACTGCCCCCCATAAGGTTTCCAGGAAGCGGCTGGTAGATTCGAAATGCTGACCTTTTGTTTAGCAGCTGAGCTCTTATACCCATAAAACGCATCTCAATGAAAGCTACAAAACATCTTAAACATACACAGAGTAACAAAATTTGCTCAGTTATACTCCATTATTAGTAAATACTTCTATTTTTAACATTCTAGCTTAGAAGAAGATATTAGTCAATCCCTTGCCTGTTATCTATAAACGATAAACCTTCACTGTGGTTAAAGAACATCTAAGTAGATGCAGCTAGTTCTCCTAGCTAGACGCCCTCAGCCTCACAATAAAGATGGATCAAAAGCTAGCATCTAACTAGGTCTAAAGACCCCTTAAACACCTTTCTAATCGGGTTACAGATCTGGGAAACGAATTAGAAGTCACTTTCTAGGTCCGCTGATCTCAGACTTTTGCAGTTTAGAATCAGCTGGGAGGATGGCTTTTGAAGCACAAGCCGCTGACCCCCACCTCAAAGTTTAATTCAGTAGGTCTGGGGTGGGATCCCAGAATTTGCATTTCTAACAAGGTCTCAGGTGATGCTGACGCTCCTGCCCCAGAAGCCACACCGAGAACCACTGTTCTAGATGGTTATTTGAATAGTTTTTAGCTACTGAAACTAATTTAACGTTCTATTTCTAGACACCAAGCTATTGCTAAAAAAAAGCTCAAGGCCTGATATCTCTTATCTCAAGAGCAGGCTCCCAGTATGCTATGGAGGTATGTGTGCACACTCGTGAACACATACGTACACAGGCACACGCACACACACACTCCCACATTACAGAGAACACCATAAGCTCTGCTGACTGTCATCTCTTGTTTTTATGTCCCTCGGCTATCATGATTGCTAGCTATTATATAACTGCAATAAAGAGCAAAGCATTCATTTGAAAAGAACAGCTATGTTCTTCTACTGGTCATTTATTTACCCTGAGTAGTTAACAATAAAAGATATGTGCAGTTGGGGGCTGAGGGAGGGGCTCCCAAACCTGGGACAACACATCTTCCAGCCGTAATGAGGAAGCATGTTTGTGCTCACTTGGGCAGGTACCAGGATGTTTACAGGAGAGACTGACCAAGAAACTTCCTGGAAGAGAATTCAGTCTGAATAGAGAACAGAAGGCCAAGGTGCAGAGGGCTGGTTAACAAACAGCAGGGTGTCGCTCAGAGGGAGTCGCAGGTGTAAAGGTCATAGAATGTACTGGTCAAAGGACAGTAGGGTGTCATACAATGGACTGGTCAAAGGATGGTGGGGTATCACACAATGGGCTGGTTAAAGGACAGTAGGGTGTCGAACAATGAGCTGGTTAAACAGTAGAGTGTCACACAATGGGCTGGTTAAAGGACAGTAGGGTATTACACATGGGCTGGTTAAAGGACAGCAGAGTGCCACACATGGGCTGGTTAAAGGACAGTAGGGTGTCACATAATGGCTGGTTAAAGGACAGTAGGGTGTCACACAATGAGCTGGTTAAAGGATGGTAGGGTGTCAGACAATGGGCTGGTTAAAGGACGGTAGCGGGTCACATAATGGGCTGGTTAAAGGATGGTAGGGTGTCACACATGGGCTGTTAAAGGACAGAAGGGTGTCACACAATGAGCTGGTTAAAGGACAATAGAGTGTCACACAATGAGCTGGTTAAACGACAGCAGAGTGCCACACAATGGGCTGATTAAAGGACGGCAGGGTGTCAGACAATGGGCTGGTTAAAGGACGGTAGGGTATCACACGTGGGCTGGTTAAAAGACAGGAGGGTGTCACACAACGGGCAGGTTAAAGGATGGTAGGGTGTCACACATGGGCCTGTTAAAGGACAGTAGGGTGTTGCTCAGAGGCAAGGGGAGCACAGGACACAGGGCACCTAGATTGGTCTGAGAATCCTCTCTCTCTGCTAGTACAGAGGTGCCACTCATATCAAACATTTCCTGAATATCACCTACATAACAGGGACTCTGCTAGGAGCTGACGTTCATGCCAGTGAGCTAAAGGAAACAGTGGGTACACACATATAAAAAATAAATCAACAAAAGTCATAAATGGACATTTATGAATGGCAGTACTTAGCCCTGCTGAGTGGGGATGAAGACATTTCCCCATCTCAGCTAGGTGAATGCTGGAGCACAGGACTGAGACAGGGGATGGGCTAGCAAGCACCAGAAAAGGAGCAGGAAGATGCCACAGCAGCCTGAAGAACAAGCAAGGGAAGACTATCAATACCACCTCCACTGCCAGCACCACTACCACCACCATCACCATTGCTTCCACCACAATGAACCAAGGCCAGAGTATCAATACCACCACCATTACCATAACGACCTTAGGCAACCATCATGATACATTCTGCCTACACCTAGCACTGTGCGAGACACTCACAGGCAGCATCTCATTTGATCCTCACCACAACCTTATGAAGGTGACACATTTTTTGGATGAGAAAATGGAGACTCAGAGAAATTACGCAGCTTGCCCAAGGTTAAACAGTAGATGGGGGGCGGAGGTGAGGGGGAAGGTGTGCAGTGGCAGAATTCTTGTCTTCCACGCAGGAGACCTGGGTTTGATTCCCGGCTGATACACCTCATGCACAGCCACCACCAGTCAGTTAGTGGGGGCTTGCATGTTGTTACAATGCTGAACCGGTTTCAGCAGAACTTCCAGACCATGACAGATTAGAAAGAAAGGCCAGATGATTTACTTCAGAAAATCAGCCAGTGAAAACACTATGGATCACAACGGTCCAATCTGCAACCATTCATGGGATGGCGCAGGACTGGGCAGCGCTTTGTTCCATTGTACACGGGGTCACCATGAGTCAGGAGCTGACTCCACGGCAGCCAACAACAACAATGGGGAAGGGATGTAGGCAGGCTTGTTCCAGAAAACAACTCTGACAGCAGCTCTATGGCCTTGCGGCAATATGCTACTGCTGACTACCAACAGAGCAGGATGGGAGGAATTTCTGGGGGACAGAAGTTCCTAAAATTCTGCCAAGTTGAAAAAAAATTTATACTGTTACTGCTACTATGACCTAATTTTTACCTTTGCTGTTGTGGAGTCTGGAGAAGAAACAAGTAACAAACAAATTAGGTTAACACCTAGGGCTAGGTGTCTGCCTTTGAGGAAGGCCATACCCAGAGACCTTACCTACTTCTCAACATTCCAAACAACCAGCTGTGCATCCTTGGACAAGTCACTTTACCACGCTGAATCTCAATTTTCTTGTCTCCAAAATAAATGAGTTGGACTAAATCAGTAGTTTTCAGACTGCATACTCTACAGAGCTTTAGTTCTGCAGAACTATCTCAGGGTAACTGCAGGCTACCATTTCTATCTTGATCTGTTTTATCTGTTGGGCTTCCATGTTCTAATGGTTTTGGACAGGATCCTATAACTTTGAAAAATAAAGTTTTAAAGCCACTGGACTGTATGATCTCATCCTAAGCAAACAGGGACTGACTTCCTAAAGATACTGGAGGGAGGGGGAATAAGATCCTCACCTCTTTCAAGAGGTTTTCTCCAAAACAGATTGAGGATGAAATCCATAGTTTTGAGTTTGAGAAACCAGTCTTGATTATCATTGGCCTGATATTTTCCTATGCATTTTACGAGTTTCTAACCATCTTACCTACCAGGGATCAAATATATCACCTAACCAACAATCAAAACAGAAGGTAGTGTGTGCGTGCGTGCGTGCGTGCGTGCGTGCGTGTGTACGTGCGTGCATGCGTGTGTGCATGCATCTCTGGGGGCAAGGCTGACGGACAGCAAACCTCGCTGCCAGCTTGTTTTCAAATGCTGGGTGTTATTTTAACCCCTGATAGCCTTCATTTCTGAACACGATGTTTGCTCTGTAGAAGTGGTTAATGGAAGAATGCAGTTCCAAGAGGCCTTTTTACTCTGAGTCCACATGCTGATAAAGACAGCCGTTCTAGAAGGAGTCCCTGCCCTTTGAAGCACTACCTCTCAGATTCTCATCACGTTTCATACTTTTCCTACAAAAGGTCAGCTGAATCTTGGGTTGAAAGTATCTCTCCTTCCATATTAGTTGCTCTGTCTTGGTGTATATAAGCTAATATTCTGCCTTGAATTATGGTTAGTTATATACATGACTTATCTCCCCTACCAGGCCACCAGGAAGTTTAGAAAAAACACACACGAAACTTATCAGCAGTTACTCACATGAGGAGTGGAACAGGGCACATGGGTAGGAGACTTCTCCTTTTCATGTTACTCTCCTCTACACTGCTGGAATGGATATGTATGTATATATTTTGTATCTTTGAATACATACTACTTTTATAATAAAAAATAGGGAAAAAAAAAGGCTGGGCACAGAGGGGAGGAGGCAGAAGACCATCTGGACCTTCTCTGCTGATGCGTCTCCATTTGATGCCCCTGACCACTTCTACTGGTGGCTCAAATCTCAGCTTTTACCAACTATGTGCGTGATAGTCACTTAACCACTCTGTCTCAGACTGTTCACCAAGGAAACGGGAGTGACAATTCCTAGCTCAGAGGGTTACAGTACCAAAAACCAAACTTGTTGCCATTGAGTCGATTCCGACTCATAGCGACCCTAGAGGACAGAGCAGAACTGCCCCATAGGGTTTCCAAGGACCACCTGGTGGATTCGACTGCCGACCTTTTGGTTAGCAGCCGTAGCTCTTAACCACTTCGCCACTAGCATGTATCAGTATTAGTACCTAGCACAGTGCCAAACATGCAGGAAAAGTGCCCTTAAATGGTAGCCATATAATCGTTATTCTCTTCTTTCCTCTTACAAGAGTTTTGAGGTTCTTTGTTGCTTCTTCGGACTCTACTGCTGCAATTGTGGACTTGATTTGACACTGATTACCTCATAGTATACACTGGGTACCGGCCAACCACAGCACACTAAGTATTCCTGCTTCTTCATTATTCAAACAGTGTGGAAGCCCCCATGGGATCTGGGGGGAGATGATCAAAATGGGAATCCCATTTACAATAAAGCCTGCCAGAATTCACTCTTGGCAACCAGTTACTGAACTCACTGCTGGTATTCAGTGTAACTCAAGGCTAACATTAATATTACCCTCCAAGAGGCTCAAAATTTTGTGGGAAGATGTGCATTATAAGAGAAATCCTAGTCTGCAAACCTTTTGGTTTCTCTGCACGGTGAAGTCGTTTAGGCACCACATTCTTCCTTTCTGCCTCTCCAAGGAGACAACAAAGTGGTGTGAGGATTCACACAACATCCAATGTATTGAGGGCCTACTGTATGTCAGGCATTGGACATAAAAGATACAATTTCTGCCCCAGGCAAATGACACACAGAGAAATAGAATGATGACTGTGACAGTATGCTAAGGACCCAGCAATGCAACACTTCGCAGTAGCAGTTCCTGACCTCCTGTCACCAGAGTCAATCAGTGTCTCCAACCCAGACATGTTGGACTAGATGCTCCATGGTTGGGACCTGGGAATCTGCATTTATAAAAAAAGCATCCCAGGTGACTTCTATGGACTGGTCCACGTGGGCACCACTGCCAGAGAGGAGTCCGAGAGGGCCCACGTGGGGCTGTGTGGAGGGCCAAAGAGCAGGTGAGGGTTTTCCAGACAGAGGGAAGAGCACAGGCAAAGGTCCAGTGACAGGTTGGGGATGTGAACACAAAAAGGTCTGGTCTGGCTATAGTCTGGAGGGCTTGAGGAGAAAAGGGAGGGGGGGAAGGAGCCTGGGATCAAACCCCAAGGAGTGTTGCATGCAACTAAGAACCTAAGTCCAAATCCTGGCTCCCCCTATTTGTAGCTATATGGCTTTGGACAACTCAACCTCTCTGTGCCTCAGCTGCACCATCTATGTAATGGGGGTAACAGGAGTTACCCTCATAAGGAAGCTGTTGGGAAGATTAAAATTGCAATAGTGGCTGACTTACAATAAGTTGTCAATAGTGATTATCATCATTATCATCATCATGGTGCTGCTTAAATAGAGAAGACTCATGACTATCAGAAGATCCTTCATTACAAGGAGATAAAACAGGAAGCAGGGAGACTAGCTAGAAGGCTACCATGTCAAAGAATGAGAACAGTCTAAACACAGGTGGTGAGAATGGGAGAAGGAAAAAAAAAAGACTGGGAGCTCATTGGAAGACACTTAAAAGAAGTGGGTGACCAACTGGATGTAGTAGGAAATCAGAGCTGAGAAAGCAGCCCTTGCCGTTCTGCAGGAGGGCCATGAACTCCACAACACAGCTTTCGATCCTGCCTTGGGTGGTGCAAACAGTTAACACGCTCGGCTGCTAACCCAAAGGTTGGAGGTTGGGGTCCATCCAGAAGTGTCTGGAAGAAAAGGCCTAGCAATTTACTTCCCAAAAATCAGCCCTTGAAAACCCTATGGAACACAGTTCTACTCTGACACACATGCGGTCGTCATGAGTCAGAGTTGACTGGGGGTAAATGGTTTTGATCTATAACCATGTTCCTTTTACAGAGCTCCTCTTGACCACTAATGTCACCACAAAAAGGGCCCTGGATTCTTTTGCTCTGTGTCATAATAATGCATTTGTATGTAAGTCTGCAAGGGCATATCAAACCCTGATGCTCTGAGCTGTCTGTTATTAGAGAATCTACTTACTCAGTGTTATTTCAACTAGAAGTTTGAAAGTTAGATTGGCCTTCAAATCCGTATGTCTAAGTTGGGCAAACCACAAAACATACCTGAAGGGTCAGTAGTTTTCATTGACTATGAAAAGTCCAGAAGGAAAAACCACCTGGGAGATCCAAGCTGTTGACTCACAAACATCTCATCTGCATCCGAAAGATTACCTTCGTGGGAAAAAATTGAAGGGTGACCTCACCTATCTTGGACTTATTAGACACCGAAGAAACTCTGCATGAAATTCACAGCTGGAACACAGAGCCTGTTTACTGGAATGAAATCAGACCCTTCTAAGACTCTTCAGGGGCCTAACAGATGTCAAGATATTCAGCAAAAATCCACAAATCTCTGCTCTCCTGAGAAGTCACCAAGAAATTTTGGTAAAAAATCCAATCTGATTTTGCAAAACTTCTGAGAGAAAAGCTTTTTAATTGCTGTCTCATTTTCAACATGAAACCCAGTGCTGGAAATTCTGTTTTCCTTTTCTGGGAGTCTGCCCCAGTTATCTCTAATAGAGAGATTGTAGCAGATCTCCAAGCCTATGTTGATTTCAACTGGGCTTAAAGAACTCAGAGATGGAAATCTTATTCACAGTTCTCTATCAACCATCACCTTAAGCAAATACAGGTACAGACGAGGTCATTTCTCAGGGAGAGTTAACAAAAAGACTTTGAGTTTATCCATTGCTCAACCTACAGGAACTGAACAGTGACAGTTTGTCTGGTATGGCATTAATGGGGTGACACTTGACCATCTCCATCAGAGTCTCTGAACTGTTCTATGACCAACAAGAATGTGTAAAGGCTAGTCTTGTTGCACCTATTATTTACTCATTTTTATCAGTCTAATTAGTCTTTGCTGAGAACCACATATTTAAAAGAGGACAGGGCAGGGAGGGAGAGGTGAAGGGGGCATTGTCTCCACTGGGCAAAGCATTCATGATGGATTACATTCAGACTACAGGCAGGTCGGCATGGCACTACCTTGTCAACCAGCTATAAGGATGTTTTTCCAGGATACTTTGATATCAGAAGACCAATTCAAATTTTTAAATCATGCCTCCCGAAGACACCCCACGGTCATAAACTGAAGGAAGTAATACTTCTTCCCTATATAATAAAGTTGCTCAATACGGTACTGAGACAGCCTGTAAAAGGACCATATCGTTGTTTGATGGGATTCTCTGGGTTAGGTAAATAAATAAATTTGATCGGCAGTTCAAATCTACCAGCCGCTCCTTGGAAACTCTATAGGGGCAGTTCTACTCTGTCCTATAGGGTTGCTATGAGTCAGAATCGACTCAATGGCAACAGGTTTTGTTTGTAAGGTACTATGTAATATGAAAAGGATTAAAGTATGTAGCATATTACATAGCGCCATAGATAAAATTTATTTTGACTTCCTGGTGTATCTGACCCAGAGATTTAGCTAACTCAGAGAAGTTTTCATTGAAAAAACAGTTTTGTTGAAGGTTTCCTCATCCTTTTCCACTTTTACTATTACAGTCAGTGTTACATAAATTACAGACAGCCCCAATATAGAAATAACACTTACAAAACACTTATAAAACAGTAAGAAAAAAAAAAAAAACCTAGAATGTTGAGTGAAGAAATAAACACACAAATACATACAATAATATTAAAATTGATTTTTTCACCTAACAAATTGTCAAAGACACAAAAACACAAACACTTTCTAAAGGAAAACAGACATCTTAATACTCCAAAACTAGAAAGATAAATTATTACAAGTTTTCTGGGAAGCAATATGGCAGTGGGTATCAAGAGCATTCAAAAAGTTGATGCCCTTTCATTCAACAAATCTGTTTCTAAGGATTAATCCCAAAGAAATCATTAGAGATGCAGGCAAATATTTATTTGCAATAGATACTTATTACAGCATCATAAATAATGAGAAAAAATTAGGAGCAGCCTAAAAAATTAGAAGCAATCCAATAGGGAAATGGTTGCATAAATTACAGTATGATTATGTGCTAGTATAATATAAAAACATTAAAATTATGCTTTCAAAGAACATTTAAAGATGGGAAAAAATACTCATGGTGTAACATTAAGAATAAGCAGAATATAAAAATGTGACTAAAAATAATACATGAGTAATTGGGAAAAACACAGCTCAAATGTTAACAGTAGTTCTCTTTAGATGATAACTTCATGAATTATGTTTATTTTCTTTGTTTTTTCTAAATTTTCTACTGTGAGCAAGTCTTACTTTTATTAGTACAAAAAAGGTATGAAAAAAACCAATGACAGCTATACATATGCTTCAACTGTAACTTGCACTTCAATGAGGCACTGAACCCTATAATTTCATGTCCAGCCTACACCTCAGTAACAAACCAAAAGAGCTTCAAATGAGTTTTCTACCCAGAAAATTGCCTTAAATGGATAACTACTCAAGATTTTTGAAAGACTATGCACATATGTTCCAGCCCTCAAGATTTACTGAAAGGCATGAAGTACACTTTGAAATGTATCCCTCATCGTCAATACTGGTAATGGGCCACTTACTTTTAAATAAGTCTTTCAACAAATACAGGAAAGCAATGGGTCAGTTTACAGCCAAATGCATTCTTACATTAGTGCTAAGCAGGTAAAAAACCAACAACATTAAAATGTCATGGCTTAGTCATATTCTGTGAAGCTGCTGAAAAAATACACATTTGAATACTTCAAATTATGATGATTTTTATTTTATTGTTTGGAGCAACTAGTGGTTTACTCCTATCCTAAAATCTTCCTAATCACCAAAGTCTTCAAATCTCTAGTCAGGACTGACTCCTCCTTGTCCTTTGCCATCTACAACCAGTCACTCGGGGGTACTCCTGCCATCTACAACCAGTCACTCGGGGGTACTATTGCCATCTACAACCAGTCACTCGGGGGTACTAAACTTGGGTCACAGTAGGAGCCAGGGTTAACTGCATGTACATGCGTCTATATAATGAATAAACACGTATCTAAAATATACAGCTCAGTATTAAGTCTATGCAGTATTTTGTGGCCCAAAGAGGTCTGGTGGCACAACAGTTAAGTGCTCATCTGCTAACTGAAAGGTTGGTAGTTTGAACCCACCCAGCAGCACTGGGTGAGAAAAGACCTGGGGATCTGCTCCCATAAAGATGGTTGCTATTGTTTTTGTGTGCTGAGTCAATTCCAACTCATAGTGACCTTATAGGGTAGACCAGAACTGCCCCATAGGGTTTCCTAGGCTGTAATCTTTATGGGAGCAGATCCCCAGGTCTTCTCACAGCACACAATATCATGTTGTGGCCTATGAAAGTATTCAAGCAAAAAATGTCTGTTTAAAAAAAAAAAGGTTGTTCAAAACCAATGAGCTCTTACCTTCTGGTAGTATAAATATTCAGAGGCTGTCAGTAAAAGGAAAGATTTCACCAATAAATTACAGAAAAATTCATCTGGCTATCGAAGAAAGTGATAGTCTTGCCTTGATCTCCAGCATACTCCACAGTTACCTTCCCCGTATGTGTGCAACTATCAGAGGTTACACATCTCTTTCATTTGTGTTATTAATGCTTTCATAGCGCCACAAGAGATAGTAACTCAGAAGGCAATAAGGGAAAGGCAAAACAAAAACTGCTCCCTTTCAGAAACTAGATGGCAACTGACTGAATTCCTCAAATAGTCCCATGTGGTGGGGAGGGGCACTAAGTTAGGGGGTGAGGAGAGTAAAGGTAGGCAGACAGCCCCTACCCTCAAAGCAGCCATCTACCCTTCCTCCAACAGAAAACCATTCAGGGAAGAGTGTGTACTGATAACACAACAGATTTTGTCTCTTTGAAAGCTGGCTGTATATATTAAGAACTCTAAAAAGTTCATAAACTTTTATGATGATTCTAAGTCTGAAATGCAGGAAAAACTTTATGAACAGAGGTAAAAAAATAATTGCTGGTATCATTTATTAAGTACCTTCTGGATGCACAGCACCTCTCTAATCCCTACAGTATATACGCCCTCTCTAATCCCTGCAGTAACCCTGGCAATGAGGATGTTAGTATCACCCTTTTATGGATGAGGAAAAGAAGACAAACGGCTGTTAAGTCCAGATTCTGAACCTCATGCTGCCTTTGAAGCCCCCATTTTGTCCATAAGTACACACCTGACTGCCTGCATGCCATTCCTCACAGTGTCATTTAAAAAGAACAAAACATTAGAAACAGACTTAAAGTTCAACAATACAGAACAGCTAAGAGTGCATATAAATACATATATGAAATACACAAATATATACCATATGGACATGTACACACGAAATGCTATGCTGCCATTAAAATATTAATACATTGACATAGTTCCTGTGCTTTGTTAAAAAGGTTGAAAAATAGCGTATTATCACAAACACTGAAAAAAAAAGAAAAAAAAAACCAAACCCGTTGCTGTTGAGTCAATTCTGACTCATAGTGACCCTACAGGACAGAGGAGAACTGTCTCATAGGGTTTCCAGGGAGTGGCTGGTGGATCTGAACTGCTGACCTTTTGGTTAGCAGACAAGCTCTTAATCCCTGTGCCACCAAAGCCCCATAAGTGAAACTACTACAGTATAAACATACCGAAAAGAGTTTATTACTACACTGATCAGACCATGAGTGATTTTTTTTCTTCCTTTCTTTTTTTTTTCTCTACAGTTTCCAAGATATATAAATGTGTCACTGGGATGCTGGGACTGAAAGGTGATGCAGCCAGTCCCCATGGCAACCACTCCAGTGGCCTTCCACTAGAAATGGTCTCAAGCAAACGGTGGTAACTAAAAAATCCAAGTTAAAAATATACCCATGCCAATAAAAGAGTAGAGGAAAAGGCATGTCAACTTTAAGATCAATCTTTGATTTAATAACCACCTTGCTTTTTAACTAACAAAGAAATCTAAATCTCTAAGAGCCTTTATAAAAAGATAATACAAAAGCAAACTAAGTGAAGTAAAAAGGAATGCCCTAATTTTTTTGAATATCTGTGTTAAATTTCCCCTTGGTATAATATGCTTCATCATCATGGTAATAGCATGCATTTCTTTACGGGGCCTGTGCCAATGAAATAATGTTTAATTACCATGTCAACTCAGAGTAGCTCCTTTATTATCCTGTCAGGGGGTTCTAAACATCCACTCTGTCAAAGGCCTCAAATTCTGCCCCCGACACACATTTAAGAAAACCAAAACCCGTAGCCATGGAGTTGGTTCCGACTCATAGCGACCCTACTGGGGCGGGGTGGGGGGAGAGGGGATTAAAATCTGTGGACTTGTGAGAGAAACTACTGAGTTTCCAAACTGATTAGATGAGCCTTTGTATAAGTGGATATCTTAATTCAGAAGTCTCTGGGTGGCACACACAGTTAAGCGCTGGACTACTAACCAAAAAGCTGGCAGTTCAAATCCACCCAGAGATGCCTTGGAGGTAAGGTTGGGCGACCTGTTTCTGAAAGGTCACAGCCATTGAAAATCCCATGGAGCAGTTCTACTCTGAACACATGGGGTCGCCATGAATCGGAACTGACTCAATGGCAACTAACAACATTATTTTAATTCAGGAATACACCAGCAGATGAGCATATCTACAAACCACATGTACACATACAGAAATATTTAACAACCTGAGAGTGTTTAATAAGTTTAGGGCAGTATAAGCGAGAAGCCAAGAAATAGTCCATTTAGAGATTTAAAAGAAGACGTGGATTTTTCAGATTAGGAAATGGTATGACAAAGTTAAAACTACTTCGTTTCTACCTCAAGTAGTCTGGTGGTGGTGTTTATCTTTTAATATACCATAAAAATTATGGCACCCTTCAGCCAAATGGGAACATTATGCCAAGTATAATGATATACATCATTAAGTTCGAATTGCCATATGATAGTTCAGAGGTCATTTTTTCATTTTCTTCCACCTCTGCTTGAGTAATAATAGCTAGTCATGTTTGCTACTCGCCCA